AGGAAGAATATTAAAAAGATGAGCAGCCATGTTCAATGCCTCAACCCAATAAGTATTGGGTAAGGTTGCTTGAAAGAGGAGAGCTCGCACAAGATTATTGATAGTGCACAAAGCCCATTCTGCTCTCCCATTCTGTTGGGACGTATGAGGGCAAGAGAATCATGGCTGATTTCCATGGATAGAAAAGAAATCCAGCATTTGACAATTATTAAACTCACCCTCATTATCACATTGAAAAGCGTTGATTGGGTTTTAAAATTGGGAAAACTTTGAAAACACTTCACTCTTTTGTCGAAGAGGGTAAATCCAAATAAAATGTGAAAGTTGATCAAGAAAAATAACATAGTATTTGATTCCACTAATACTGGAAACAGAAGAAATCCAAACATCTGTATGTGTGATTTCAAAAGGAGACGAAACAATTGTTTGAGAAGAAGAAAAAGGTTGTCTATGTGTTTTCCTATTTGACACGCATGACATAAGGAAGACACATCGTTTTTAGAATAATTTTAAAAACCAGAAGCAAATAAAAAAAGTAAAATAGAATCGCTGGGATGGTCGAGACGTTGGTGCTCGATTGATGGTGAAGAGGAGGTGACAAAGGAGTGTAGAGATGGGGTAGAGGACGGAGAAGTAATGGCTGAGGACCACGACTATCACAACGGATGAGAGGTGTTCAGGTGTGAAGATCCTTAACAACAAAACCAAAATGGTCAAACTCAACAGAACACATATTATCAGTAGTTTATTGACGTTAAGAGACCAAATTTCTTAAAATCTTTGGACAAAGTAAAACATTTTTGACAAACAGGGGACGAAACGTAGAAATCAAAGTATGGCCAACACCAGTTGCAGGAATTATAGCTCCATTGCCCACTGTGATTAAAGGTAAAGGGGTTTGAGAAGAATTAGAGGAGATGTTACCGGGTTGTGCAGTGAAGTAGGCGGTTGCTCCTGAATCCATATTCCATCCAGCATCGACGGGATCAAATAAACTCATGGTATTGAACGCAGTCACCAACGCCGTTGGAATCATTTCACTAGGAGGAGCCGGTGACATAGTAGTGGAGGAGGTGTGTGTTGTCAAATATGCTGACCGAGGACTATGGCCAAGAATTCCAGAAGAAGGCGGCGTCAGCATTGGAGGTCTCGGTGAATGGTTTTGCCATTGAGAAGGATTCGACCAATTGGTGGGCCATTGGGGCTGTTATTTCCAAGGGGAAACCATGGGCCATGATTGAGTGTTGGGCCAGGCCCATGGTGGAAGTGATTAACCTTGTCCTCTAATCGACCACCATGATTGCTGCTATTGCCACGGTTTTGATGAGAGTGTTGTTCCACAGAGCTTGATCGAGGATTGGAATTATATGGTGGAGTAGACGAAGCAATTAAGATCTGGGGTGAGGAGGTGTTGTCGTGATGAGATGCTTCAGCTTAACGCTTGGTGTTGAGCCTGTCTTCTTCATCTTTGAGCATTGATCGAGCAATACTGAAAGTACAAGGTGGTGGAGATCGATGTTTAATAACATTGATGATGTTATTAAATTTGGAGCTTAGACCGTTGAGAAGATGCATAAAGAGTTGTTTGTCTGTGATTGGGGAATCAACGTTTGTGAGGAGATTCTAGAGAGTTTTTAATTTCTGACAATACTCATGGACTGGTAGATCGCCAATCCGGAGTTGACGGATTTCATTCTCGAGCTGAATTGCTCGAGCTTCTTTGTTGTCGCGGAAAAGACTTTCAATTGATTTCCATAGATCTGATGCGGAACCCTTGGTTTTAAGCACCGATTTGAGAAGCGATTCAGAGATGGTGCACCGTATATCCACATCTTGACAGTGCCATCCGTTTGCGACCAAAAATTATCAGCTAGGCCAGTTGGTGTCGATGTTCCATGTTCCATCGAGATGACCAAGGACAGAGAAGCTATGGCAATGAGTTTAGAAGAGCTCACGCCAGATATCATAATTCATCTAGTTCATATCGAGAGTAATCGGAATATGAGCCTTGATTTGCGAAAAACTGAGAGAACGATCAGTTGTTGCAGCCATGGTGAAAAAAATAAAAATAAAAGAGAAACAAGAGTACTAGAGAAGAAGAAGAGAATAGAAGAAACAAAAGAATGAGAATAACAGGAATATCAAAAGAAGAAAAGAGAGAAGGAAGAAGAAGGAGAGCGGCAGAAGATTTTAGTATGAGAAGGTATACTCTGATACCATATTAGATTAGGTATGATTGAATCGATGCTCTGTATCATTCCATTTATGAGAATATAAAGAGAATTGCGTACAAGAGAGTTGTTAGAGGCTATAAAATTAGATGCCTAATTTACATAGGAAAATATATGTATTCCATATTCTAATAGTTACGAGCTCTCCTGGAGTTCTTGTCTTGATCTCGTTATTTAGCTTCCGTTCTCTATCAGTTGGTATCAGAGCTTTTAAATTAGTTATAAATAGCTATTCTAGGACCTTGTAAAGACATACTTTCATTTGATTAAACTTATATACAGAGCTTTTTAAGCACAAAGAGGAGTACTCTTAACCCTTTTCACTTATCGATCTCAATTGTATAAGCCAAGATCCGAGTTCGTTTCGAGTTTTCCTGGAGTTCTTGTCTTGATCTCGTTATTTAGCTTCCACTCTCTATCACTTTTCTTTTGCCGGATAAGTTGATTGTTCTCTGAGCTTGGAACATGCGCACAAGGAGTCATCGGAACGATTTTCCACTTCAAGAATGATCGTTCCGACATCGAAAAAATTGCCGTAAACTTTTAAGAACGATCGTTCCCAAACCCCAGACAAAAAAAGGCAATCTGCAACTTCCTGTTTTGTCCTGGAATAACATATTTCTACCCTAGACCTATATATACTTATTTTTAGCCATTGTTTAGACAACAAACACATTATTTTCTATTCTCTCTTTTGGTTGTAGTGCTTTGTAAGTTTGGAGAAAATAATCTTTTTAGAAGATTTCTGAACCTCTTTAGATTTCTTATTTATTAATTATGAGTTTCTCTTCATCTTTTTGTTTGTTCTCTACTTCCATGTCTGAGTAGTTTCATAGTTAGGTTTAGGATTTTCAAAGGATTCATGAATTATTGAACTAAACATAAATATGGTTACTCATCTGCTGTCTTCACCTATTGTTGTTCTCATTGCTTAGATTAATTTAATCACTTAATATCTGATTTAGGGTTTAATTTATTCATGAAAATGTTTTAGATTGCTTGATAGTTCATAGGTGAGCAGATTGTCCTTAGCCAACGAAAACTGATGTTAAAAAAATCTGTGAACAAATCAAACTTGTACATTAATGCTTGTTTAGAATTTTAAATTCAAACGAAAGTTCAGATACTTAGATTGCAAAATAAAGTCTTTGATGCCACGAAAGTGGATTAAATTGTTCTAAAAACTGCCCTAAATAACTGTCTGGTTCTTGATCTTTAAATTCCTGTGAAATACCTAGACTTAACGCTTTCTTTTACTGTCTTTAAACCGCTTTTACTTACTAATTTTGTTTTATCTTTCAAAACAACAACATATCATTATCTTAGCTTAGTTTTATCTTAAAGATTAGTGGTGTGACACTTGGTTCTCTTGGATTCGATCCCTAAATTATTATATCACTTGCTGTATACTTGCAGTAGTTTATAAAGGATCAAAAATTTGTGTATCAATTTACTCCACCGTCCACCCCAATGAAGCAACCAAAGATCTTGTTGGTCGGTTCAAATATGTCTATATATATCAAAAAGCATTGCCACTTATATTCTCCTCGTCAAAGGAAAAACTCCCAGGTTTAACCTGAAATTCAGTGATTATTCCCGTCTCAACTGCTAGAAACATACTCCACAAAAGGGCCGCGTCAGGTTCAATCTTAGTTGTAATCGATGTCTCCATCTCAAATGCGCTCAACCGCTAGTAAGCATGCGAATTTGAACGACTCTAAGATTTGCGTGCTCAGAAGCTCTGGTGTTTGCTACAAAGTTCTACTTTTTTCCAATATTTTTACAATTGTGGAAACCTCTAGAAAATAATGAACATTTTCTGGAAAAGGTGGTATTAATTAGTAAATAGGCTATGTTTTATATTAGCTTTCTTCTGTTTCGAATGGAGTTGTATCATCTTGGTTGGGTCAGACTACATTTGGTTTTGGTCAGGTCTTTTGGTGAATTGTTTTCCTCGTAGCAGCAAACAATTATGTTTAGATATTTACATTATTATGGTTTAAATTGCAGGTTATATTGGACCATTGTCTCTTCTAAATACAATTTTGGATGATCGTATTATCTCTTTAATGGTACTATTAGTCTGTTCTTGTTTAGTATGTGATCTGGTGATAGTTGATGAAGGAAGTTTGTATGTGTCTGAGGCTTCAGACTTGGTAGTTAATACATGTTTATCGTGTAATGGAATATCAGCCGCCAATTGCTTTGCTTCTTCCACAAGCAACCTCTAAAGCCCTAGTCTCAAAATGAAATCGCCATAGGAAGAACGCAGACGCAGTTTCCGGACGTTTATCGCCGCTCATGAACACATGTAATGCAAAAATTATACCCACAAAACAAGCGTTGCGTTGTTCCGATTCGACCGAAGAAAGAAAGTACACGATCCAAAAATCAAAGAATTTTGAGTACGATTGATGGATGAAAAAAATTGAGCCAAAAGATTCCCAAATCCACATCATAAAAATGTAAAAATCGTGTAGTCCTGATAGTTAAACAATAGCAACCGTTGATTGTGGTTGCTTCAAAAAAATTCAACCAAGCTTGCTCTCCTTCCCATAGACAGGGACAACAAGGTGCAAACATGGCGGGAACGAACCATAGCAAACAAGGTAGACCAAAGTATAAAGCCAAACAAGGAGAGATAGAATAGAGGAGGCAGAGGAAAAGACAGAAGCCCAACGTGTGACAGAGACGTCCCACGAAGTAAGTTTCAGATGATATTGAGTCAAACTCGCTTTCAATAATCCAAAATCCGCAACTAATTATACCGACACCCACGCCGAAAATACCGAAACAAAGCACAGGTCCTACAACGTTTTCATCTAGTGGAATCTTGTGGCTTCTCATAGTCATATACAACGTCACTGCAACGTTGAGGATTATAATGATGAAGTTCATCGCAACCTCGTACCGTAGGTTCCCGTTCATCCTGCAACCAATCAACCGGAGGATTATAAGTTTCAGTTTATATAATCAAATCATATGTTACATCATAATAATAATATAGTAAATGGATCAAAAGAAAAAGAAAAAAAAATTTTAGTATTAAGCTCGTGGGCCGTTTGCTCTGTTCTTAATGTTATAATCATGCTCTGTTTTTACTCTGTTTCAGATGATGTAAACAAACCTCTTTTTTTGTTGATAAATAAGTATCACATTTCAAAAAAAAAAAATCTTAAAATTAAAAGGGAAACGAAGATGTAATCCGTACACAGTTATACATAAAGTACAAAAATATGATAACATTATGTTCAACACAACTGAAAACTATGACGTAGATACCAAAACATAAATACCAAAATAAATATCAAGAAATTATTCATTGGTAAGGGATCTATCACCATGTTTGACGAGGAAACAAGGGTTCAACATCTAAGAATGAAGTTGCAACATTGTCGGTAACAGCCACGTTGTTCCACGATTCAACTCCAATGTTCACTTCCACGGTTTCTTCCTCTTCATCGCTTTCGTCAATGACTTGTAGCTGTGAATCTCCACCCGATGAACGAATCCTCTCCAATTCTATGGACACTTGTCTCATGCTTGGCCGTTTTCTCCCTTTAAGATTCAGACATTTCCTAGCGAGTTTTGCTGTCGCGGTAACTTGCTCCAACTTGCACCCCTTTCTGATTCGAGCATCAATGATTTCTTCGAGTTTGTTCTCTTTCATTGCAAGAATGAAATAAGTTGCCAATGCTCTATTCTCTTGAGACCGCAAGAAAGAGATTGGTTTTGCTCCGGTGATGAGCTCCACCAACACGACTCCGAAGCTATATACATCACTCTTGTCCGTGAATTGGCTAGACTGAAAATACTCTGGATCCACATATCCTGCTGTACCTGAAACTACTGTTGTTAGGTGGGTATGATCTACCGTCACTGACCTTGAAGTTCCGAAATCAGACACTTTAGCTCGATATTTCTCATCCAACATTATGTTTGTTGACTTAATATCTCTGTGATAAATGGGAGACGATGCAGCCGAGTGTAAGTATGAAAGAGCTCCAGCGACATCTACAGCAATGCGTAAACGCACTTCCCAAGTAGTCATCGTGTAGTCATCAAACTCATCGTGAAGATGTTCAAAAAGATTACCATTGGGAATAAACTCGTAGACCAAAACCGGTACTTGTGTCTCAAGGCAACATCCCAAGAGCTTGACAATGTTCCTATGGTTAATCTGTGATAGAATGACAACCTCGTTGATGAACTCTTCCAACTTGTCTTCGTCCACAACTTTTGATTTCTTCACTGCCACGATTCCACCATCTGCCAACATTCCCTTGTACACAGTGCCTTGTCCACCTTGTCCAAGTATCCTGTTTAAACTAAATTTCTCGGTGGCTTTCTCCAATTCTTTCGAGCTGAATACTTTTGTTTTCTCGACATTGCCTTCTGTTGAAACCAATTGTTGTTGCAACAGTAGACCTCCATTGCGCTTGAAAAACTTCTTTTTACGGTTGATCTTCTTTTGTCTTTTAATAAACTTGTATAACCAGTACAATGCAATAGCTAAGACCAATGAACCGAAGCTTACTCCAATCCCTAAAACCCCACAAACAAAGAGTGAAAAGCATAATTGTTTTTGGGTACTGATCATCACCAAACTTCAAAAAGAAAAAAAAAGCTTTAAATAATTCAGAGCTATTTACCTAAAGCAATTGGCTTAGTCTTCGCAAGCACGCAATCATGGCCTCCTGGAATATTTACACAAATGTATCCCGGATATTCCAAACAGGGCACACTACCATCAATAGTTTTGTTTTCTAGGCATTCATCAATATCTGGATTACAAAAACGATGAAATTTTCGATAATCAACTTTTACTTTTTAAAAAAGAATAGAGAATTATGTGAAAAATTGGACAACCCTACGAGTGTTGAATTGATATAGACCAAACCCTAAACAAAAGAGAAATAATGTGCAGAGTTACTGACCTTTGCATCCGCCAGGAGCATATGGGTTGCCTCTATAGCCCCGATTGCACGCACAACTTGCATAGCTCGAATTAGCAAAATACTCGCATGCACAAGTTGCATTGTATTCAAAAGTATCGTCTCCTGTCATTTGGTCGCACGTCAACTCCAAGGAATCTATGAAGGAAGCATTGGTTGTATGGATGAACCATCCTAGCTCAACGGTAGCATATCGTTTAGCATGAAGCCATTTCGGATCAGATATGTGGTTGAAAGAGTATTCCTCGTCCGTTAAGAAGGCGACTTTGCACCCTCCTTTCGAAATGGTGGTATTTTCTTCTATGCTCACACCAGCAATCTGTTGAAGCTCGTCCGGTATACTTACCTGGCAGCATCCAACACCATTGCAGATTCTTTTCTCCCTAATGCTTGTTGCATCACACATAGGGGAGTAAATGCCTTTGTTGGACTTCTTTGTTACACAACTAACAAACGCGAGATAGTTATGTGTAGGCGAAGGCTGTATTGTGCTGCAACTCGAGCTGCATCCCACCGTGCTTGGCTCAGCAGTTGTCAACGATGCCGTGATGTTGCAACCAACCGCTACAAGGGTATTCTTGTAGCTGACGTAAAAAGGGCTACCCATCAGATTCAAAAGTGATCCGTCTGCTTCTTGTTTGCCGTCGCTGGAACATCCTTTCGAAGTTATTGGGTTTTTTATGCGAACTGATCCATATGACCAAAAACCTTGACTTTGGCTAGTGTCTTCACTCGGAAAGGAGATATTCACAACTTCCTTGCCAAGTACGGCAATGAAAGCAGTATTACTAATACATTGAATTTCGTACCATTTGTTGAGATAACAACCCACCCCGATTCCAAATGGGGGCGGAATCTTGATTCCTCCACATTTGTTCTGACAGGAGCTGAAAGCAGAATCAAAGATCAACAAAAGTTGTAGGGTGAGGGTAAGAATCAAGAGGCTCATAGTTTTTTCCATCAAATTTGTTCTTCACTGAGTTTAGTTTCTCGCTACATAAAGGCAGAAGGCATTTGTGGGTGGAGGGACCATGCAAGAGAAGAAAGTTGCGTTTACTTGGACACAGCATGACAGCATCAAAGTCTTTCTGTCTTTAACTTTGAATTTTCTCTTCTCTGACTCAGTCAAATAAACTGTATATAGTTGGACAATTGGGCACAATAAATTACAAGCAGATTTGATCGTGTGTCGTACGCCAATCGTGGACCCTTCGTAATTACAATCAATGCGACTTATCGTCAGAATTTCAATTACTATTAGCCCAAAGACCATTTCGACAGAATTTTCATCTACTATATTAGTTACAAAAATAATATTTTAATTATATTACGAATGAAAAATGAAAAATATTAGAGGTAGAAGAATTTTAACTTCCCTTTTATTTTTAGCCTGAAAACTTGTTTTAATGGTAAATATGAAAATTGTCATATTATAATTCTTTTTTTTTTTAAATTATGATAAAAAATACAATGTTGATAGAAAATAGGATAATCAAATGATTAAAATTATATAATTATTAAAAAATATATAAAAAAATGTATTTATATTTTCGTCAAGCCTCTAAAAGCTTTGGCACGGCACTGCTAGTGTCCATGATTAGCGGACGTTTATTATGGATGTGGATTTATGTTTATTATGTCCAACCATATCGTTTATTTGATTGAGACAGAGAAGAAGAAAAATCAAAGATGTAGACAGAGAAGACTTGATGATTTGTCCAAGTAAACGCAACTTTTCCCTCCAATGTCACTCTCTCCCCATACATTAGCAGAAGGCCTTTTCCTTAGCAAGGAGCAAAAGAAAAAAGGAAGAAGAACATAATTTACTTTAAGCAGAAAAAAAATGACCCGTGTGAATAGTTTCTCCCTCTTGATTCTCATCTTCACTCAGCTCCTTTTGCTAATTGATGTTTCTGCTTCGAGCTCTTGTCAAAAGAAATGTGGTGGAATCGAGATCTTGTACCCATTTGGGATCGGAGTGGGTTGCTATCTTAACAAATGGTACGAGATTCAATGCATTAATGATGGCACTCCTTTCCTTTACGCAGTTGGCAAGGAAGTTGTGCATATCTCCCTACCCCTTCTGAGTGAATTCTCGTTCGAAGGTTTTGATTCACTTGGGTCGGTTCGCATAAAAAACCCAATAACTTCAAAAGGATGTTCCAGCGACGAGAGAAAAGAGGCAACTGGACCACTTTTGAATCTGACAGGTAGCCCTTTTTACGTCGGCCACATGAATAACCTTGTAGCGGTTGGTTGCAACATCACGGCATCGTTGACGAATATGGAGCCAAGCGTTGTGAGATGTAGCTCGAGTTGCCGTACATCACACTCTTCGCCTAGGCCTACACAGAACTATCTCGCATTTGTTGGTTGTAAAATCAAGAAAGTTGGTAGATTTAATTCCTTCACTAAGTGTGATGCAACAAGCATAACGAAGGATACATTTTGCAATGGCGTTGGATGCTGCCAGGCAAGTATACCGGACGAGCTTCAACAGGTCGTTGGTGTGAGTATAGAAGAAAGTACCACAACTTCGGGAGGAGACTGCAAAGTCGCCTTCTTAACGGACGAGGCGTACTCTGTCAGACACATATCTGATCCGAAATGGCTTCACGCTCAACAATATGTTACCGTTGATCTAGGATGGTTCATTCATACAAGGAATGTTTCCTTCATAGATTCCTTGGAGTGCGAGTATATGTCAGCAGACGGATGGATACCAGATTACTCTGGAAGAAATAGTTGTGCATGCTATAGTTCTTCGGATTCAAGCTATGCAAGTTGTGCGTGCAATCGTGGTTATAGAGGCAACCCATATACTTTGGGCGGATGCAAAGGTCAGTTTTCTGTTTTTTAAAACATGACATGTTGTTTGTAGCCATGGTCGAAATAAAGCTATGAGAGGATTGTTTGTCAACAATTTAATCCTTTTTTTTTTGTAATCCAGATGTTGATGAATGCCTAGAAAAAAACAATACTAGAGGTGACGTGCCCTGTTTGGGAGAGACTTGTGTCAATAAGCCGGGGGGTTATTCCTGTTATGAACGAAAGACTCAGCCGATTGCCCTAGGTAAATAGTGGAAGTTTTTAAATCCAAATTCGCTAACATTTATTTAAACCTTGTTTTAAAAGTTAAGATTATGCTTCACTCTTCGTTTGTGGGTTTTCAGGGATTGGAGTAAGCTTCGGTTCATTGATTTTAATAAGTGGTGTGTACTGGTTATACAAATTTATCAAAAGACAAAGGAAGATCAACCGCAAAAAGAAGTTTTTCAAGCGCAATGGAGGTCTACTATTGCAACAACAACTGATTTCAACAGAAGGCAATGTCGAGAAAACGAAAGTATTCAGCTCGAAAGAATTGGAGAAGGCCACTGAGAAATTTAGTTTAAACAGGATACTAGGACAATGTGGACAAGGCACTGTGTACAAGGGAATGTTGGCAGATGGTGGAATCGTGGCTGTCAAGAAATCAAAAGTTGTGGACGAAGACAAGCTGGAAGAGTTCATCAACGAGGTTGTCATTCTATCACAGATCAACCATAGGAACATTGTCAAGCTCTTGGGATGTTGCCTTGAGACACAAGTACCGGTTTTGGTCTACGAGTTTATTCCCAATGGTAATCTCTTCGAACATCTTCACGATGAGTTTGATGACTACACGATGACTACTTGGGAAGTGCGTTTACGCATCGCTGTAGATGTCGCTGGAGCTCTTTCATACTTGCACTCGGCTGCATCGTCTCCCATTTATCACAGAGATATTAAGTCAACAAACATAATGTTGGATGAGAAATATCGAGCTAAAGTGTCTGATTTCGGAACCTCAAGGTCAGTAACGGTAGATCATACCCACCTAACAACAGTAGTATCAGGTACGGTGGGATATATGGATCCAGAATATTTTCAATCTAGCCAATTCACGGACAAGAGTGATGTATATAGCTTCGGAGTTGTGTTGGTGGAGCTCATCACCGGAGCAAAACCAATCTCTTTCTTGCGGTCTCAAGAGAATAGAACATTGGCAACGTATTTCATTCTTACAATGAAAGAGAACAAACTCGAAGAAATCATTGACGCTCGAATCAGAGAGGGGTGCAAGTTGGAGCAACTTACCGCGACAGCAAAACTCGCTAGGAAGTGTCTGAATCTTAAAGGGAGGAAACGGCCAAGCATGAAACAAGTGTCCATAGAATTGGAGAGGATTCGTTCTTCGGGTGGAGATTCACAGCTACAAGTCATTGTCGAAAGTGATGAAGAGGAAGAAACCGTGGAAGTGAACATTGGAGTTGAATCGTGGAACAACGTGGCTGTTACCGACAATGTTGCAACTTCATTCTTAGATGCTGAACCCTTGTTTCCTCGTCAAACATGGTGATAGATCCCTTACCAATGAATAATTTCTTGATATTGATCTTGATATTTATGTTTAAAATACATGTGAATTTATGTACGTCATAGTTTTCAGTTGTGTTGATCTGAATGTTATCATAGCTTTTTACTTTTTTATGTGTCTATAACTGTGTACCAATTGGATTTTTGCTTCCTTTTTAATTTCAAGAAAATAATCTTCACACTAGAAAAGTCGTTATGTTACTGTTACTATCTTTAGTTTACTATAGTCACAACCTCGTTGATGCTTCTAATAAACGGATGCATACAGCGTCGTATTCACCGTTGTAAAAAGCAAAGAGCAATAGTTTCACGTTTCCTACTTTTTCATCAAAATGTGGGGTTCGTGGAATAAAAAATTCTATAACAAATTTACTTAACATCACGTATAGGAAAGAGCATTAACTTGAGAATTTTTTTCACATGGAATTCTAACATAAAACCATGAAGAACCAGTAGTGAAAAAATTCCTACTCTACTTCAGAATTATGTCAACAAAAACAAGACCGCAAGACATTATGCTCTATAGACCACACTTCTAACTCTACTTGCAAAAGTCAATGAAAAAAAATAGATCACAACATGTGGCCGAAGATAGGTACCAAGCTTCCACCAACCTTTGAGATGGAAAGTACTAATGTTAACCATCTTGGCCTACTGTTGTAATGACAGGTTACTTGTTTATGTGTCTTGTTTATGTGTCTATTCCCTCTATAAACAATCCAAAACCCTGAAATGAAAGCAGCAAAAAAATTACTATATTCACAACAAATCCACTTCGGGTTTATATTCTTCATCAATGCTTTATATTTTTGCTTTTCTAATGACTTCTGAAGTTGAGCCAAGTTTGCATAGGAGAGTACAAACATAATCTCAGAAAATATGAGAAAGGACGAAGATAAGTGGTTCATAAACTCAATTTTCCCCTCTAAATGAGCCCTCCCCACATACTGAAAAATGATGCTACTATAGTCAAACCTCCAATTGCATAGAAAACATTTGACAGTTCTTCTCGCTTTTTGAGATAAAATCACGTGACGATGATTTTTTGCTTTTGTTAAAACGTTGGTGTTTAAGTATAAATCCACATTGACATAAGTTGGACAATTTTGGTGAAAAGTTTAAAGGGTTTAAATGGATTTTGAATGGGTAATAAGTTGATAAGTCTACTTATTTATATGAATAAGCCCATTTGAACATTGGCAACTTATTTCATTTTTGCAAGAATGTTTAGGCTCTTTACCAAAGAATGACACAAAATTAAGAAAATGTTTAAAAGAGAGAACCATACTAGTATCAATTACCAAGGCACGCTTTTGATAACTAAGGAAGCGGTGATTTGTCATGATTAGTTACCACAGGTGGTGATAAGCCACATTATCCATCGGAAAATTAATCATATGGTCAGGAAAGAAGAAAGACCACGCCCTGCCATCAAAGACATGTAACATGCTGAAACCAACATTTGCAATTAAAACTGATAATGTAAACCATCTCGGCCAAGTAGCATCGGTTATGTGTTTTTTCTCTTTAGACTTGTCTAGATAAACAAGCCAAAACCCCACAATGGAAGCAGCGAAAAAGAATATTACTGCAATCCACAACAAACCCTATCCCATTGTAACCTTATCTCTCAATGACTTTGCCTTGTCACTCTACTCCCCTAGAAGTTTGTGGAACTGAGCCAACACAGCAAATGTATCATCAATGCACACAAGAAACGCCCAATGGCACCCACCGCTTCTAAACCAGATGTAACCATTTGAATCTAACCCTCCATGTGAGATGAAAAAGGAGGCGTTGGTGATCACAGTTGTTAAGTTATCAATTGAAGTCTTGAGTTGTTCTATGGCTGAAGCTAGTCCACTCCCTCAGAACATGAGCAAAATCATCATTTGTACCTTGAGGTGTACGAGAGATCGCCAAGTTAAGAACGAGTTGTACCATCTTGAGCTTTATGCTCACTTGGAAACTGAGAAACTGAGAAACAGAATCCCCATTTGTAACATTAGTAACATTAGTAACATTAGTAGCTGTAGGAGAGATGGTCCCGTGGGAACACCAGATTTAGACTCATTTGGAACCTGGCAATCTAAATGAGTACTAGAGATTCTCATTGGAACAAGAGTTTCAGAATCATTTGGAAGCTGAGGAAGTATACAAATGTTCAGCTTCCAAATGATTCCAAAAGAACAAGATTTCTCGAAGTTACTCAAAATAGTAGTTAGTTGATGCATTGAATTTTTGACCGGTTACGAAACTAGTATTCATATTTTATATGTATAATTTGTAAACATTTTTGATCTTATTTACCTTTCATAGACCACATGTGACCAGTTCTAGCTGAACTTTCAAACATAACATAAGTGGAGACAAACAAAAAATAGAAAATTGCATCTAGCTTTTTTGTTTTCAGCATTTATATATTTTCCTTGTCGGCGATAGTTCTTGATATATAAATGCTGAAAACAAAAACAAAACAATATAGGCCATGTTCATAATTCATAACTATAAAAAATGATAAAAGTATCATAACACAAAACACAGTTACATGGTGACCCAATACCACTTCAAGGTCTTATTATGAACCAGAAACAAAATCAGACACATAGTGTGACACAGACTCTGCTGTATCTTAACAAGATTCAAACAAACAACACCAACATCATCGAAAGATATTTGACTTAGCTCTTTATTTAGTAGAAATTAGAAGCTAAGCAAAATCATTTATCATAGCACTCTCCACCACTAAGAGAGGGATTTAGTCATCGTCCTCATCACGACGCCTCTGGTGGTGATGCTTGTGACGATGCTGCTTCTTCTCCTCATCCTCATCAGAGTCATTGCCACCCTGCAAATATTGTAGAGAGATGATTAGGGTTAAGCGGAAACTGTTTCCTTTGTAATGTTCTATACAATGCCATCGACTTGATGAACTATGACCATAATGAAGGAGAGAATCATTATGTAAGTAAGACCTTCAACTTCAAGTATTCTCAAGATGTCCAAAATTACTCAAATACTGAACCTGGGAAGTCAAATGTGATCCTAAACTAGCTTCTGATCCAAGCAAACTCAAGCATATCCATTTCAGAATGTGAAACAGAGAGATAATCGTTGACATGTATCAAGATTCAAGACAGAGACTTCAAACAGGATTTTTCTTAATGGATCATCAATGAACATGAACCCTTACTAAAGGTCTAAACTTTACTTCAGTAAGTAGATCACTCTACACTATGAAAACCATTCACGCTTATCGTCCAAACAATCTAGATGCAAACTATGGAAAATTCTCTGTAACGAAATGTTAATTTTCTTGAACTTACATATTTCTTTCGGCCATAGCTCCCTTCCTCATCATCACCGGAACCGGAACGGTTCCTGCGCTGGTCATCATCATCATCATCATTGCGACGGCCATAGCTAGGCTTCCTGTAACTTCCTTCTTCCTGTTCCTCAGATCTTCCATAGCTAGGCTTTATGTAACTCTCCACCTGCTCCTCAAATCTTCCATAGCTAGGCTTCCTGTAACTTCCTTCCTCTTGTTCCTCAGATCTCCCATAGCTAGGCTTCCTGTAACCTTCTTCTTCCTGATCCTCAGATCTTCCATAGCTAGGCTTCCTGTAGCTTCCTTCCTCCTGTTCCTCAGATCTCCCATAGCTAGGCTTCTTGTAACCTTCTTCTTCCTGATCCTCAGATCTTCCATAGCTGCTGGGCTTTATGTAACTCTCAACCTGATCCTCAGATCTTCCATAGCTAGGCTTCCTGTAACCTTCTTCCTGTTCCTCAGACCTTCCATAGCTAGGCTTACGTTCATACTCGCTCCTCTCTTCACCGAAGCTCGGTTTCTTCTCATACCCGGATCCATACCCGGTCTCCGATCTCCCACCATATCCAGATTCAGGTCTCCGACCATACTCAACCTCGGTTCTTCCACCAGATCCGTACTCGGATTCAGTCTCTGTTCTACCACCATAGCCAGATCCGACTCTCTGTTCAGGTCTCCGACCATACTCCGTCTCCGTTTCCCCACCATATCCCGATTCAGGTCTCCTTCCGTATTCAGTCTCCGTCTGACCACCATATCCGGATCCGTACTCCGATTCCGGTTTCCTGCCATAACCGGATTCAGATCCATAACCAGGATTTGGTCTCTCACCTTGCACATGACCGCCTCCGGCTGAATCGGGTCGAAATGCGGGTCTGGGCTTGGGTCGCGAATAGCTACTGTACTCAGTCTGAAGTGCTTCTTCGCCGTAGGCAGATGGATCATGGATCGAGGTGAATTCAGGTCTCTCGTATTCGAAATCGTCATCGACTCCCGACGAGAGCGGGTAACAAGTCTCGTCGGAGGGAGGGATCGGACGGCCGTAGATCACGGTGATGTCGTAGCCACCGCTGTACGGCGTTGGATCGAACTCGTCGAAATCGTCGACCTCATCCTCTTCTCTGGTGTAGTACGGCATCGTTTCACAATCTTCTCTTTCTCTCTGATCTGGGAATTCTGCGGTTCTCTGGGATCTCACAAAAATGACGAAAATGGAACTTTTTATACGCAGAGGAGGGAGAAGGAGACGATAGGTGCGAAACGCTGCGTTTTGAATAATGATTTGCGAATTTTAAATTACGTGGGGCCCATTAATCTGCTGTTTACACGGCGTTGGCGACCACTACGACGCGGGTAAGCCATGCCACGTGGCTTAATTTTAGTTGGTAAACCATTCTGATTGTACCGACTGCCGACTGCCGACTGATCTAACCGGAAACTTTTCTTCTACCGATAGATTTGAATAATTTGATTCGACGGATGGTTAAATTGTTTTTAAAAAACCTATTTTTCAGACAGAGTTTTTCGTCAGCAACACAGAACTTTTTAGTTTCCTCTCAGTTTTTTGGTGTCATTGTCTTTTTGTTCTCTATTTGTTTGTTGTACTATTGAGGCACGAATGCGAAGGTGAAGGACAAACTCAAAAGAGGGCCCTACAAATTCCAAATGTTGATGACGTGGACAGGCTGATAATATGCCACATGTACATAGAAGGCCGAAAGGCAGATATCCCTTATCTTTCAAATCTTTACCGAAACAACTTTACTCTCTCTTTCTCTGTTTTCGTCTAGAGAAATCTAAAAGTTTTGTTCACAAAATATATAACTTTCAGAGAGAAATCAAGACGCAATCTTCGCTCGAAAAATCGAGAGAGAGAGAGAGAGAGAGAGAGAGAGAGAGAGAGAGATGTGGAAGAGATCGAAGTTCTAATCTTGAAGATATTGAAATTGGTGAAATGGCGGTTTTATCGTCGGCGATGTTCGGAAGTTACCGTCCGGTGAAGACGACGGAGATGAGATCAATTACACGGTGGAGAGTGAAGTGTCAGGTGTCATCCGTAAAACCCGCCACGTATTCCTCAAGAATCTCGACTGATATTCCTCTCCACGAGTCTCCTCAGGTCTCATTCTCTCTCTATAACACGAATGACGAATCAGTGTGAATTTTTGTAAATCGATTCTGTTTTGATGGGTTTTTAATTATTCAGGCGTTGTTCGATGAGTATTTAGAGGATAAATCGAGGGTATTCGAAGCAATGTTTCCTGATAAACCCAGGAGCCATAGGCTTAATGAGGTATTTATTCTATTACAAATGTTAATTACTTATTAATGCAGAAATGTTTCAAAATGGGCATTTGGTCTAGTGGTATGATTCTCGCTTAGGGTGCGAGAGGTCCCGAGTTCAATTCTCGGAATGCCCCTAAATTTTTTAGTTTTCTTGTAGGAAGAGTGGAGGATTCAGATGTTACCAATAACATTTCTCTTCCTCACTGTATGGCCTGTGGTGGATATGAGATTACAATGCAAATCCAACGGTCAGGATTATCCGCCAGACGTACCTTCAGATATAACCAGACTGGTTGAGCTCAACATGGTAATAAGTCAACGCATGTCTCTCTTTATTTAATTATTCATATGTATCTATATAAAAACATACATTATTCACAAAATCTCTTGCTCCGCTCTTAATGGATCTTGATTTAAAATTATATTGTGCTTGGAAATTTTATCGGTAGATATGAAGGATATTTGTCATGCCTTGTGTGTAAATAATGGCCTCTAAATTTTTTGTTACACGGTTTTTTCAGACAAGGTGGGAGTTAAGAGGACTTAGCCATGTAATGGAACCGTCTGATTTCAGTTTGGGAGTGAAAGGAGCATTGTACCCAGACCGAAGAGGAAAGAACACAAGACTCAGAGGTCAACTAGAAATGAACATAAGCTTTGTACTTCCTCCAGTTCTTGAGTTAGTACCCGAAGATGTTAGAAGAAACTTGGCTAATGCGGTAAGACATAGTTTTTATATAAAAGTTTATTTGACTTTTTTTTAACTTAACTAAAACGCTATGTGTCTCTGTTTTTGATTTGAACCCTTTACAGGTTTTGACCGGTTTGGTGGAGAATATGAAGCATAAGGTTAATGGGAGCTTGCTCGCTGATTATAGCAGGTTTAAGAATGAGAGAAAATTACAAAAGTTATCGAGTAAAACCGAGTTTTAATGTGAATGTTCAACCTTGTATAGTTTCTGGATCCCACATGAACAATGGATTTGATTACATAAAGCGAGAGATACATTTTTTTTTCTTTTTATCAACTTCATAAATATAAACTACAATGTTAAACTACATACTGAATTCAAATAAGTACTTAAAAAAAATTAAACCTCTGCATGAGATAGGAGTTTTCTCACCGACTCACCGCCAAAACATTTAGTTGTCTAAAATTTCTTCTCAACGTTCATTGTTCTCGTGTCAGTCTCATCAACTAATGCGTGAGAGAAGACGTGTCTTAGAAGATCAAATGTTTTTGTAGACTTAAAAAGACCATGCACGTATAAACCCAAAAAAAAATGTATCAGCTCGGAAAAACTCTTAACTAACTCAAACCGAACCAAATCGAAATAAACCGAACAAAGTTTGGTTTTAGTTCGGATTTACTTTTACAAAACCAGAAAAATCCAAAAACTGAAAATATTTAAACCTTAGCTAAACCGTAAAACCGAATGTGTACCAGGTTAATAACGAAGTTTCAACAAAAATTTCTGAATATCCACTACATTCCAAATCTCTACCGTGACAGATGAACTCTCTGTCTCTCTCTGTTTCTACAAAAGTCCCAAAACGTATAAGAGAGAAAAGCAAGACGCAATCTTTCCTCTGGAGATATAGATATTAGATACAGAGAGAAAACTGGGAAAGATCAAAATTCCGATTTTAGAGAGTGAAAGAGACAGGTTAAATGGCTGTAAGCTCAACGGTTTTGTCATATCCGGCGATGCTCGTAACACGCCCCACGGTGACGCCGGAGCTGAGATCAAGACGGTGGAAAGTGGCGCCGGAGCTGAGATCAAGACAGTGGAAAGTGAAGTGCCAGTTGTCACCCGTAAAACCCTCCAAGTATTCATCGAAAATCTCTACAGATGTTCAATTGCACGAGTCTCCTCAGGTCCTTCTTTGTCTCTCTATAATGGTAGTGCGTATATATATAAGCTATCAGTGTAAGTTTGTGTATTTTGATCATTTTTGGGAATTTTTAGGTATTGTTCGATGAGTACTTGGAGAATAAGTCAAGAGTATTCGAAGCAATGTTTCCTGATAAACCCAAAAGCCATAGGCTTAACGAGGTACTATTCTATTTCTACTGGCCATCCTTAGTCTCTTTAGTAATTTGCTAACTCGAAGATATTAAAAAATGGTTTGCTGAATTGACAACTTTAAATTTTGATTAAGAAATTTAAACAAAAGATTATGTGTTATGGTATTGCCGCCAAAACATGACTTCACGGTTTCTGTAAAAATGGGATTTCAGGGTATTTTCGTGAAAACGAGATTCTGTTGTCACAATTTTAGCATCAAACACAATTCCGTATTTCTGAAAATAAATTTAGGAAGATGTATCCAATCAAGCATTTGAAATGTTGCGTGTTAAATTATCAAATTTCATGTTAGTCAATCATGAAGTTTGAAAAGTCTTCTAAAACCCAAAATTATTGGTTATTCGAAGTCCATTTAAATTTAAATTTAATGGTTTTAGGTGAAATTGCAAATAATATATAATAACAAATCATTACAATTTCTTTAATTCAGTTAAAATCATCTGAAAACATATTACAACTTAAATCACTCCAATAGTTTGAATACACCCATTTAATGTAAAACGTTGAATTTCTATCAATTATTACATTTGTGCAGGACGAATGGAGAATCCATATGTCACCAATAAATTTCCTCTTCCTCACTGCTTTGCCAGTGGTAGACATGCGGATTCGATGCAAATCCAACGGTCAAGATTACCCGCCAGAAATACCTCTAGACATAACCAAAGTTCTCGAGCTCAACATGGTTAATTCTCCAAAAAGATTCACAAAATCAAAACATTTATTCGTTTTTCTCTCTTGTTTCTTCAACGATTTTTGAATTCCGGTTTTCAGATAAAATGGGAGCTTCAAGGGCTTGACCGGGTAATGGAACCGTCTGATTTCACTCTCGGAGTCAAAGGAGCATTGTACCCAGACCGAGGTGGAAGGCACACAAGGCTCAAAGGTCGACTAGAGATGAACATAAGCTTCGTGCTTCCTTCCGTTCTAACGCTTGTACCCGAAGATGTTAGTAGAAACGTGGCCAATGCGGTAAGAAAAGGACAAAATGTTTCATTAAATGCGTTTGCGTTCTCAAGACGCAATGTTTCTCGGTTTATACTTGATCTTTGGTTTTGGTTGTGACTTTCTACAGGTTTTGACCGGTTTAGTGGATAACATGAAGCATAAGGTTATTAACAGCTTGCTCGCTGATTATAGCAGATTCAAGAATGAAAGAATAACACATCACTAGGTTTCAAATCTCAATGTTTTTAAAACATGTATAGTCTTAATGTAAATGTAAAACTTTTCACACAGAAAGAAGAAAGAAAAGGGATAAATCAAAGATTCACAAACGAACACACCAAACTGTTTCAGTGATAGATATTTTGATCGGGTTTTTAGATACAGAGAGGCTTACTAAGTGAGCTTGAAGTACAAGATGAGGATAATGGCTGCGACCAAAGCCGTGATAATGGCTCCAATGGTCCATTTGTTCTTGTTCATCCTCCTCGTCATGCCTGTCAAGATCTTCTTGCTCTTCCCAATGTTATCGTCTACTCCACTAAGCTGTTAACAGAGTTCTACATATTGGTTAAAGCGATCCCAAATCATGTAGTAGAGAAAGTAAAACGTATGTATTCTTCGTGAAAGAGTAAGTACCGTGTCACCGGCGCGTAGGAGAGATTGTCTCTGACTGTGCAAGTCTTGGAGGATCGAAACGCCGATATCTTCAGTCTCCATCATGACTCTACGACTGTCCTTGACTCTGTCTGTGGTTCGACCCAAACGTTCCGTTGACATCATCAACCTTGATCTCTGATCAGCTGAAGCCTGAACTCAAATGTCGAAACAATCAAAAGCTGTTTTAACTACCAAAAGATCGAGATGAGATTATTATATCGAGCAAATACTACTGAGTTCCTTTAACATACCGTCTTTGTGTCGGCCATACCAGCTTCAAGCAACTCATCTCGAGCAGCAGCGTTCAAGTTTGCAGATGTGATTCTCTTCACTTCCGTTTTGAAATTGTTCAGATCAGACTTGAATTCTCTTAACTTGACAAGGAGGCTGGACTTAATATTTGGTGGAAGGCTCCTCGCCTCAAGATCCATTTTCCTAATCTGTTGATGAAAAAAAATAGCATCGTTAAAATGGAAGATGGAGAGATAAAAAGCCGCTAATTCAGCTCGATCTAAGCCTATCACATACCAATGCTTCTGCATTTTCCAGGCCAGATTTTATTTCAGAGAGCTTCTGCTTCTTTTGTTCTGCAAACAAGCAAGATACTATCAATTGAATCTCATGCTACGCAAAACAACAGAACAATGATGATGATGATCTACACCTACTAATGACAAGCTCTCTTCTCAATCAGTGACCAAAGAAAGCACAAATATTATGTCTCCTTACAACGCATGAAATAGACAAGAGGTTAGCAGTAAATAAAGGATCTAAAACGCACATTAGTCGATATCAAACACAAACCAAAGTATCTCTCATTGCATCTAAAATGCAAATCAGAAAAGTTATGGTCAATGCATCTTAAGCTAAGCAATCAACAGATCAAAGTAATCACAAGCTCTCTTCTCAATAAGTGACCAAAGAAAGCAACAGCTGAGAATCTAAAATCGCACAGTCCTCTGTATCAAACAAAAATCAAATTCTCTCTAATTCGATTATTGTTACATTCAAAAGGTAATATTTTTGTTGTCTACACAGTTCTCTAAGGAAGCTCTAAGGCAATGCCTGTATCAAACACAAACCAAATTCACTTCAATGCAAACATTGTTACATTCAAAATCTAAACTTTTGTTTTGGTCTACGATTATCTAAGGAAGCTAAGGCAATGCCTGAGGAGAGAAAGTGTCATATCTTAAGAAAAGATTTAGAGATATTCAATTTACCTCCATCAAGGGCAACAGCTGAAGAACACTTCTTTGAAAGATTCGCAGAGAGCTCGCAATATTGCCGCTCGTATCCGTTAAACACTTCACTCATTGTTCCAAGTGAACACTAAAACGAACTCTGCAGAATCAGAAAAAACAATGATGATGAAACCCTATAGATACTACAGATGTACAAAACATATATGAAATCGAAATTTTCCGAAAACCTATGATCACATTACGCGGAACAAATCAACAGCCCAAAACTATCTCAACAAGACGATTATCGATGAACAATCCAAAACCCTAGTATATTGTGTACTCCTAACTTAGATCGCGATACAGGGAAAGCACATGTCAACACGAGGTTTAGGGGGAAAAAGGAGAAAAAAGAAGCCAGAAAAGTAAAATTCACCGATCTCAAGAGAAAAAGTGAAGAACAATTGACGAGATTCATGTGATCGATGAGTTCGCCGGAGCATAAGCGATTAATGACAAAATTAGGAATGTAAAAAATCGAAACCAGAAAGCAAAATCACAATCAGATAAAGAGAGGGATTAGGCGAGGAATAGACAAAGTTAGACGAGACCTGAGAAACGAACGGGGAAGAAGAGTTACAACGCCGGAATCGGAAAGTAGATCGGAGGAGATACGGGGAAGAAAATTCAGGAAGACGACGATGAATGAATTGAATTGATGATGCGTACATGAATATTCAGGAAGACGGTCGGAATATGTTCAATGTTGAGGAATTATATCCTACATGTACAAACACGGTTTCTTTGGAACACCACCAGTTTGATTATTAATTATTATAATTTGGATTAAAGCCTAAAGTCTAGAATATACACGAACCAAAAAAAAAACAGATTTTGAACTTAAAATTCTTTGATTAATGCAAAAACTGGTAATCACCAGTCTCATTGTCGGAAGATTGAATATACACATACATACCTTCATTTTTCTAAAAAAATAAAAATAAATTGATTTTTTTATTTTACTAGGTATATATTCGCGCTACGCTGCAGATTATTTCTTAATTACTTTTTTATTAATTAATGTTATATTTTGATAAAAAAAATATATTAAAATGAATATTATATATATATTAATAAATATACAAATATATATATTTATATATATATATATGAATAATGAAATTCTGTTTTAGTTCTATTTTGTGTCTTAATCACTATTTATCTTTATCAGAGGTGGATGTAAGGCAATAAATACGGTGGAACATGCTTATGTGCAATTTTTTAACTTTAGCAATTAGTGTAAAATTTATTTAAATATCCCTGATTGAAAATTAGTTATACACTTATCACTTGTGAACATGTAGACATAGGTATATTATTTAGAATAGTGTTTCAAATTTTAAAGTTTTGAAGGATTTATGCCACATCATTTAAATTTTTAGTGTAAATGTGATTTTTCTTGAAAAAATATTTGTATTAAATGTTTGTTGTGGTTAAAGGGACATAAATGGTTGTAATGGTGAGTTGAAGTCGAATTAAAACACTAATAGACACTTGGATGATGTAAAACCATATTGAAGTTGTGAATGTAAAACGTCAAGATTAAAATTAACTCTCATATATATTCATTTTAAACGAAAAATACTTTAAACGTAAAATTTCATAATAAAATTACTCTCTAATACAAAATTTTATTTATTTTATAAAAACCCTTTTCATTACTAAATTTTTTTTTTTATGTTAATCTGTTTATAACAAACAGAAATAACCAATTTTCACTTAAGACATGTTCATAAATGTTTGACATATTTTTATAGTTCTTACATTTAAATGTTATCAGCTTAGGGTTTATCCTTATTGTGTCTCATTTGTGAGTTGATATGTTATTTCAATCGTATAATATAAAATACTGATCTTACACATACTAAACTTATATCATCAGAAACTGTCAACAATTATAGTATACATTTAAAATATTGAATCTGAAAAAAAATAAAGACGCCAACTATAAAACGCTAAAACTTATCTTTTTCAATAACTTGATATCTCTTTCTTTTGAACAAAAAAAATAGCTCTTTCTTCAATCAAAACTATTTATCCATCATTATTATACGAAACAATGATCATTGTCCAACATCCGAAGTGAAAGAGTCAAATGTAGATTCTGAAACTATGAGTAACATGAATTTGTCAAGAGACACAATTGGAGGAAGAGATCTAGTGAGATTATGCATCTCATGATATCTTGTGACGACTATGCATCTTTTAGTCTCTTGAGACTCTGTTAATTGGGTAAGTATCTTCTTCATTAGAGTTCTTCACTGCATTATTAATTTTAAATGTTTCAATGATTGTTACGTTATTTATTTTACGTTATATTTTTAACAGTAATCAACCTAGCGAACTAAATCCAATAGTAACCTCAACTAAGGCACTATAAATTGGTTCAACTTCCACTTGAAAACATATGTGTGTTTTGCCTTACAAAGGCTTATGAATAATAACTGGTTGATACGTTAAAAAAAAATGATAACAATAATTAATTAATTTTTTGTGTGTTTTTGGGTTTATAACTTCAAATAAAATTCCAAATTGGGTCTAGAGAGAACCAAAGTCTTAAAAAAAATAGAGACTTAACACTTCAAAAGATCCACGACGGAGACTACACAAGAAGCCTCACACGAGCCCAATCCAAAACTTGGTTTCGTTTAAAAAGGACCACACTTATTTTTTCTATCATTCCCGTAGATTTATTTTTCAGTTTAGTTCGGTTTAGATTTTTAACGAATTTGCTACGGTGAGCAATGCTTTGATAATTTAACAGAGATTACTATTATAGATTGAGGAAAGAAATATTCAAAAGCACAAATACAAAGCTCTATATTAAAAATACTTTAATGACTATTACATTATAAAACATTTTTTTTTCTACTCATACAACAAACAAAGGGTATATATACGATTTTTGGATGATGCAATTAGTGGTGATGTGTCCGTGCTACATTTAGAGTTTTTTTGAGAAAATTACAAACCGAGCCAAGAACATTGCTTCCTCGTATGCTTAGGTACTAACTTAGCTACCATCTTCACTGTCACACCTTTCATCTTTATCCACGAAATTTTTTTATTTTTATTTGCTGTTGTTTATTATTTGGATTTTAGTTTGACAAAAAATAAAACAATTTTTTTGTGCTGTTATTTATTATTTGGGTTTTATAAAAAGTAAAATAAAGATATAGGGCTTGATTGGTTGTTGCTGTAGATGCTGTACAAAGCAATATTTATGTTTAAAGCTCTAAATCATACCAATCATGCTTTATAAACTCTGTTTTTCATTTATTTGCTCACAGCCAAAATATTTCCTTTTTTATTTTTTGCTGTACAAAACATTATTTTCTAAAGTATATAAATTTATGATTTCCAAATTTTACAATTCTACAGCCAAAATATTAAAGAAATAAAATTTACAGCTACAACAAAAAAATCTACAACCACATTTCTACAGCAAAAACATAAAGAACCAATCAAGCCCATAATTTTTTATTTGATGTTATTTATTATTTGGGCTTGGGTTTGGCAAAATAATAAAACAAAGATTAACATAAGATTGTCTCGATCGGTCCTTACCATCATTGCGATGGTGAAGATGCTAAAGATCATCTTCAGATGATCCAGGAGCACAAATAACGATATCTTGATATGTTTTTGTCCAAGACAAAGGCAAAAGAGGTGTGTTTGATGCATCTGCACGAAGTGGTCTCGGGGATGGAAGAGAGGATAAGAGGTTCATATTCAGAGGATCTAAAGCTTGATCGCGAAAAGCTGACCGATATGATGATCCTTGACGGTTGCTTCATCCTCACATTATTGATAGTAGTTTCAAAGAAGAGTTGGCGTAAGAATTACTCTAACGACCCGATTTTCACTTTGAGATGGATTCTACCAACTCTTCGGAGTGATCTTCTCCTTCTTGAAAACCAGGTTCCACTTTTCCTTCTTCAAGATCTCCTCAAGACTTCGAAGCTCTTTCCTTCCAGTAACCTAAACGAGATGATATTTGCATTCTTTAGCTATTCAATTAAAAAACCAAAAGAATTTTGGGAAAAAAGAAAGAATCTTGATGCAAGCCATCTTTTAGATCTCATCCGTAAAACTTACATACCTAATCAAGCGGAGACACCAACAGTACCGACTCTACGCCCTTTTCTCAGTATGATTCTCTCAGCCAAGAAACTTCGACTGAGAGGAATAGAGTTCAAGAAAAAAGAGAAATTTGAGACACCGCTTGACATAACTCTGAAGAACGGTGTGCTTGAAATACCAAAACTAACATTCGATGACTTCTTCACCTCTCTTTTGGTCAACTGTGTCGCCTTTGAGCAGTTTAATATGAGATGCTCCACCGAAATGACAAGCTATGTTACATTCATGGGTTGCCTCATAAACTCTGAAGAGGATGCAACGTTCTTAAGCGAGAAAGGGATCATAGAGAACTACTTCGGGACAGGAGAACAAGTGTCTTTGTTCTTCAAGAACACAGGCAAAGACGTTGCGTTTTCGATATCCAAGAGTTTCTTGTCGAATGTGTTCGAGGGAGTGAACAAGTACACTTCACAAGGGTACCACGTACAATGGGCAGGATTCAAGTACACACATTTCAACAGTTCCTGGACATTTCTATCACCTTTTGCTGCTTTGATGCTTCTTCTCTTTACCTTCTTCCAAGCTTTCTTTGCAGCCTATGCTTACTTTCGCCCTCCCAATTAAAGACGAGTGAGTTAGTTCTTTGTAGCGTATGCTTTAGCTTCATAAAAATACAATTGACTTGGCTCTCATTAATGTTGCACCGTCTCCAATTCCACCATGCGTGAAGCTTTCATCCTATATCTTTACATTTTTCTCGTCGCTGTTTTCTGTTAAACGAACTATGAGAGCATATTTGTATTTGATGACTTCAAGGTTTGCAATTTCATTTCTTTTCTTTTTTAATCCAAATTTTATTTTGTCATCAACAAATAAAATTTCATACCTCATTTGCAAAATTCTCGAATATAAGAATTGTGTATCACCAACCGCACGAGTTTTAAAATTTTAAAATACTCTGCAAAGAATGATCGACGGCGACTCCATACTAACGTTGCTGCTGAGTTCTGCAACCTTCAAATATTTTGTTTTAGCCGTGACTTTAAATTTGCATGGCAAAGTAATTTCAACGTGGATTGAAACCTGTGAGTCTCTCAATCAAGATTTGACGAGAGACCCCGATGGAGATGGTCTAAGAGAAAAAAAAAAGTGTAGAAAGAGAAAATCCTTAAATTTAACAATCCATATCCATAAAAAGAAACAAATGATCGCATAAACACGACTCTCCTTGGTTTCCTCGATCTTGAGCATCCCTTTCCCGTTGTAGTTTACGGACAAGTCGGCTATTTTATCAAAACCAGCCCAAGAAAACTTTGTTTATCTTAGATGGGCTAAGCTAGATGGGCTCTTCTTTATCAAAACCAGCCCAAGAGCTTCATCTGTGTAGCAGCAGCATTCTTCTTTCCTTTGATGCAGCAGTAACAAAATCTTTGCTCATGATTTTGGATTAGACTTCATCAGATGAACCCAGATTTCACCTTTGTCGAATTTTTGAGTGATTGCTGTTACCGGAATTGACATCACCTTCTTCTAAAACTGCAACACTGGATTCAGAATCGCACAAGGTAATCCTTTCAAACATCGTGCATATGCCTTTTTTTTTTTTTTTTTTTTTTTTTTTTTTTAACTCTTTCTTCTTTTTCTTTTCTTTTATAAAAAAACTCTTTCTTCTTCTTTCTGATTGCGTTTTTTGTTGATGAGATAGAAGAATTTGTGAACCACACAAAATTATCCTTCCATCTTGGTTTTTCCTAAACCGATCCACACCAATTAATAACCCAATTAATAATCCAACGCACTCTTGAGTTGACCTGTAAGACTGTAACTGTCTCTCGCTATGCAGTGAAGAGTCCAAAAGATCATCATCTTCATCAAAACCAATTTTCCTGGAGAAGCATTCGCTGCTTGTGGATATGCCGGACTCCACGGCGGAAGTCTCCGTCGCCGTTCCGCTACTTCCCTCCCTCCGTCACGCAACCAACTCTTCCTCTCAAGTCGCCATCGTCGGTTCCAACGTCTGTCCAATCGAAAGCCTCGATTACGAGTAAGGACAACTCCCAATCATTGCTTCGTCTTCCTCTTCTTCATTGGCCCTAAGTTTTTCTTTGTTTGGTTGCTCGATTTAGGATCGCCGAGAATGATTTCTTCAAGCAGGATTGGAGAGCTCGCAGTAAGACACAGATTTTCCAATACGTGTTCATGAAGTGGCTGCTTTGCTTTTTCATCGGGATCATCGTTAGTCTCATCGGATTCGCCAACAATCTCGCCGTCGAGAATCTCGCCGGCGTAAAGTTCGTCATCACTTCTAACATGATGTTAGCCGGAAGGTGACTCTCTGCTCTCTCTTTCCAATTTTTCTCGCTGTTTTGTTTTGCAAATGTTAATGATTTGGCTTTGAACGGAAGAAATCACAATTGCTTCACAGGTTCAGTATGGGGTTTTTCGTTTTCACCGTTACAAATCTACTTCTTACTCTCTTTGCGTCGGTGATTACTGCTTTTGTTGCGCCTGCTGCGGCCGGTTCCGGTATACCAGAGGTTAAGGCCTATTTGAACGGTGTAGATGCACCAGAGATATTCTCAGTCCGCACTTTGGTCGTTAAGGTAAAGCATTTTTGAGCTTTGAAATTTTTTTGCAAGAAATTTGTTTTGATCTCTCTTTGTTTGGGGGATACGTACAGATCATTGGGAACATATCTGCAGTGTCGGCTTCTCTACTCATAGGTAAAGCAGGGCCTATGGTGCACACCGGTGCTTGTGTTGCGTCCATACTTGGTCAGGGCGGCTCCAAAAGATATGGACTGACCTGGAAATGGCTTAGATTCTTCAACAATGACAGAGACCGAAGGGACCTTGTAACCTGTGGTTCAGCTGCTGGTATTGCTGCCTCGTTTCGTGCCCCTGTAGGTGGTGTCTTGTTCGCGCTTGAAGAGATGTCATCTTGGTATGTCAATGTTATTTTTGAGCTCAACGTTGCCGTTGTGTTGTTGGTCTGATCGGAATTTTTTCGTTGTAGGTGGAGGAGTGCACTGTTATGGAGAACCTTCTTTTCAACAGCTGTTGTGGCAGTTGTCCTCAGGGCTCTTATTGATGTGTGTTTAAGTGGGAAGTGCGGTCTATTTGGCAAAGGAGGCTTAATAATGTTTGATGTCTATTCAGAAAATGCGTCATATCATTTAAGAGATGTTCTTCCTGTTCTTTTCCTTGGAGTTGTCGGTGGTGTTTTAGGAAGCTTTTACAACTTTCTGCTGGAGAAGGCCCTGCGTGCTTACAACTATATATATGAGTAAGCTAGCTTCTTGGATATGTTTATGATACAAACATGTACACTCATATATGTTAATAATAATATTTGATTGTGTCCAGAAAAGGAGTTGCTTGGAAAATCATAGTCGCTTGCGCGATATCAATTTTCACGTCCTGCCTACTTTTCGGATTACCATTTCTTGCGTCATGCCAACCTTGCCCCGCCGGTGCCTTAGAGGAGTGCCCTACGATTGGCCGGTCTGGCAACTTTAAGAAATACCAATGCCCACCTGGTCACTACAATGATCTAGCTAGCCTCATCTTCAACACAAACGACGACGCCATCAAAAACCTCTTCAGCAAAAACACGGACTTGGAGTTCCATTATCTGTCGGTTCTTGTGTTTTTCGTCACCTGCTTCTTCCTCAGTATCCTCAGCTATGGCATTGTTGCTCCAGCAGGGCTCTTTGTACCCGTTATCGTAACGGGAGCGTCGTATGGACGCCTTGTAGGGATGCTGCTTGGTTCAAACTCAAGTCTTAACCATGGCCTGTTTGCTGTGCTCGGTGCTGCATCGTTTCTTGGCGGATCAATGAGGATGACAGTTTCCTTGTGTGTGATTCTCCTTGAGCTGACAAATAACCTGCTGCTACTACCTATGATGATGCTCGTCCTGCTGATTTCTAAAACAGTTGCTGATGCTTTCAACGCCAACATCTATAACCTCATCATGAAGATTAAAGGGTTTCCTTACCTAAACAACCATGCCGAGCCTTACATGAGGCAGCTTACAGTAGGTGATGTAGTCACAGGCCCGCTTCAAGTCTTTAATGGCATCGAGAAAATCGAGACTATTGTACACGTTCTCAAATCCACCAATCACAATGGCTTCCCTGTGGTTGATGGGCCGCCACTCGCTCCAGCTCCTGTTCTATACGGTTTGATTCTCCGGACTCATATTCTGACTTTGCTAAAGAAGCGAGTGTTCTTGACTAGTCCAATGGCTTTTGACTCCAAGACCCTTGCCCAATTCAAGACAGATGAGTTTGCTAAGAAGGGTTCTGGGAGGGGAGATAGAATAGAAGATGTGGAATTAAGCGAGCAAGAGTTGAATATGTATCTGGATTTACATCCATTCTCTAATGCGTCTCCTTACACTGTTTTGGAGACCATGTCAGTTGCAAAGGCCCTTCTCCTCTTCCGTGAGATTGGTCTAAGGCACTTACTCGTCATACCAAAAATCTCCAACGTAAGTGATTTTGGTTTCTCCTTTTCACTGTCTCTTATCGTCACTTTTTTTTTTCATCTTGATAGGCACTAAAATATGAGATGGTTGGTACATACAGATTAATAATAAAGGAATCGTACAAATAACAACATTATAGATAGAGTCTTTTGAAATTTGATCATTGGTTTTGGGATTTAGGAAAGTTTAAGGAACTCGAGTCTTGTCTCTCTCTCTGTATCTCTGATAGCTCTTGGTTACTTGGTTCATTATTGTATATGAATTCTCTACTCTGCTTGTATCAAATGCCTTTGTGACTATTGCAGAGACCTCCACTGGTGGGTATATTGACGCGGCATGACTTCATGCCGGAACATGTACTAGGCCTGCGTCCGTCCCTGTCCCGGAGCAGGTGGAAAAGGCTTCGAATTCGGCTGCCTTTCCTCTCGTAAAGTATTCAGCTGAGATCAACTCTGTATAAGTACTGAATGCAGCCATGTGGTGGCACAAAGCGGATCATTCGAGGATTATTTGAGCTTTTATGTCGAGATCTGAGATATGCAAATACTTTGTATATAAATTCACATTAAGGTCTCTCGAATAAAGGGCTTTTTCTTTTAGTGTGAATACAAAGAAGTAGAGGTTTATACATGTTTTGTTGCCTAGAAAAGCTGGCTTTTATTACCTGAAGGGTGCTCATTCCAATCCATTCTTTGACATCTACCAATGCAATATCCACATCTTTTTGAGGGCTTCGAATTTTCTAAAACAGAGAGTTATGAGAAGTACATTTGTTGAAAAATGTAGAAACTGCTTCCAAATATAATTTCCAATCAATAATAATTTCAACGTGACGTTCCATAAAAACCAAAATCTCCATACTGCAAAGTATTATATAATCACCTATATTTAAAGAAAAAAGCTATACTGCAAAAAAATTAAAATTCCGATAATAATTTCTAAAAAACTTCTTCAATATGCTTTTTCTTCTGTATAAGAACAATTTTACTCTATTCCACTCACACTCGGTCTCAGGGTTCGTTTTCCGGTACCGGAGTATCCTCGGGCTTTGCGTTTCGTCTCTGAAACTGATCAAGCTCCTCTTGAGGGAAAACTTCAGATTGCAGAGAAGGCGAAATCTTCTTAACGTGAAGCCAAGTAAGTTGCCAGAAGCTATCACTTCCGATATCATCACCTGGTAACAAAACCCCCGTCGTCTTCATCACCAGCAACGTGTTCTTGAGCAGTTCCGGTATGAGCTCGTGGACTTTCTCGCTGCGTTTTCCTCTGAACTTGGTCGACATGTAACTCTCCATACGGTTCAACACACCGAGCCAGAGTCTGCAGAAGGAAGGTTGCTGCGAAATGTCTTGAAGAGACTGAAGAAAAGCTTTCGACATGAGCTTCGTGGCGAGCACAAGCGTTTCCTCAACCGTTTTCTTGAAAGTCTTTTTTGAGTTCTCGATCGAAACAGCGAGCGATTCGTCTAGTAACGGGAAGATCGCCGAATCGAAGCATTGGAACCATAGAGGCTGCGGTAACATGATCCCGTCTGCGCCGGCTATTGATCTTTGCAGCATTAAGATGGCGTGGTTTCTCACTTGGTCGCGTTGATCGAGACAAACTCTCTTGAGGTTGTTCACAAGCCTGAGCCACATTTCTCCAATATCTTGGCTTAGTTTCGTCATAGCTTCATCTTCTCCGACCGAGTTTCTCGCCTCTTGAGACCATCTCGCGAGACAGAACACGGAGTTCGACATCAAGTCAATGGCTGAGATAGACCGGTCGATTTCGCCGACTCGGGATTCAGCAAACTGCCTCGCTGCATCCAAGCAGAGAATGTAGTTCGATGGTAACAAGTGAGCTCCTTCCGACATTATAAACCGGAGAGCTTCGAATCCGGCATCAGAAGCTTCTGGATGCCGAGCTGTGGTTGATAAAAGAGATATGATCGTTCGCCAACCAACGTGAGATCGAACGTGAGACGAATTCGCTTTAACAAGACGAGCAACTTCTTGCGTGATGGGTTCACAGTATGCATCAGCGACTCTTGCATCAAGCTTGAGAACCAGTTGGAGTGATTTCAGAAGCTCGTCTGTTAGGTTTTCCTTGTAAGGCAATAATCTCTGACAAATCTTCAAGACACCGAAAACAGCTTTTTCAACAAGCGGGCATGGTGTTGACGTTGACTGAACTATACCGGAGATATGCTCGTAAACAGTTTGCCATATCAGTAAGATTCTGTCACGGTTGTTCAGAGTTACTGCAATCAGAAGCTCAAGGCAAAAGACAGCACTAGCTTCGTTTTTCTCGGCTGCCTTTATGAGGGAGTTTACTAGCTGTTGCAGAGACTCAGCTTGAAGAAACTTGCTGTCTGAGAATATGCTATCAATGTGACACTCTTTCACTATACCACGAGCGTGTTTATAAGCTGCAAGCTCTTCCTCGGTTGGTAATGGCTTTGTCTCCTCCATGTCAAAAGACAAAAGCTGGCTAAACCGACCGATGAAACTAGACGATTTCCGAGGCGTCGCTGAAGGTTGTACCTGTGATACTACCGACACGGGGTTCGCAGGTGGTCTTTCTTGCTCCGAGTTACTAGTTGATGGCTCTGGATCATCCGCTGCATCACTAGCTATATGAGCTGGTAAAATCTGGAGTTTGTGGAGGCTCAAGACACATTCCAGTATATTTTTCCATCCCGTACTGATATAGTCACCATACTTATTTGCAATCAAGAAAACAGCTTCTGTAGCCATTCTTGCCTTTGCATCTTCTCCTAGAGCAAGAACAGCTTCATCCACAGATAACTGAGCAAAGAAGGGCGTGAATTTGCAGAGAGACACAACCAGATCATCCAAAACACTATTCAAATGATAATATGCTGAGAGTTTTGCAATGGCCAATAACCCATCAACACATCTCTGTAAAACATCTTCTTGCTCTGCTTGCTCAAAAACCACTGATGTAGCTGCAATTGTCGGACCGAACACGATAGAAAACATGTCGCGGTCCAGATGCGACGCGCTGTCACATATGATGTAAGGACTTGTTTCTTTCGATTTGTAAATCACACTGATCCACCGACTCGCTGTCATCATCTGAAAGCCGGTTCCCTGATCTGGGATCATCTGAATCTCACTGTCGCAGATTGAGTGATAAAGCTCGGACAAGTACTCTCTGGGAAGGTCTGCACCTCCATTTATGCACCTGTTGTTACGGATGAAATCTTCTTCAGTCATCTTTTTCTTAACTTGCGTGTTGTGGTGATCTGTGTTCAGCAAGATAATCGAGTAAGATAACAGGAGGGCAGCATCTTTATCAATCAGTATCTGAGGTGACTGCTCATAGTATCTCTCAGAAAACGCCTCAAGCACCCTCTGTATCTTCTGCGACTCGCCAGGCAATCTAAAGGTACCCACAAATAGACGCAGGGCGTTATCAAGATTCATGTTCTGGAAGTCAAACGTCTTGGCAAACTCATGAAGCACCTGAACACAAAACTGATCATGATTTCCCAGAAAATCTCCTATAAGATTCTTATCCAACCCACATGTATACCTGAAAAAAGATGCCACACTCTTTGGATCAAGTTCCTCAGGCAACAAGTGCATGGTTTGGAGATGCTGCAAGCCCTTTTTAGGATCGCTGTTGAAATGATCAGCTCCAAGCATCAGTTTTTTCTTGATGTGCTTTGACTTTCGGACAAAGGGAACCCAAACATTAGGATCTTCATAATTCTCACATCGCACTGTCCAGAATGCTTCATATCCTTCGTCAATTGTAGAAACATCTGAAGCCGACAATTCCTCACCAACCCTTTCAGCCATTCCCTGAACCATGGATATTAACCCATCCAGAGCAAGTATATGCATAGCGGACAGAGGCCCATTAACTGGGAAGGCACTCTTTGACAGCAGGTTTGAAATATCTTCAAATACATTACTGCAGGTAATATCACAATCGAAATTCACAAACACTTCAGCAATGAAAGTATGTTGTCTGCAAAGATCAACCAGAGCCTCCATAGCAACCTCCTGTTGCTGGTACGAAGAGCCATGTTTGCTCTGTGCAATCCTCAGAAGCACACATGAAAAGAAAGCTTCAAGCTGTACCTTAAGCTCAGTACGGAGACTCAGGTAGAGATTAAGAACGATGCTGCAAACTGTAGAAAGAATCAGAGGGCTCATCGACATACCAAACTGCATTAAGTTACAGAATAACTCATCCTGAATCAAAACCAACAACTTCGGATGCTCACGGAAAGAAGAACCTCCAAGTTCTATAGCGGAGTTAATTAAACCCAGAGCGAAAAGAGGAACGTCTTCATCAAATGCGATAGGGTTGGATTTGGAACTGACTTCACCGTTTTCTCCAACATTCAACAGGGTACACAAGAAATGAAAAATCTCAACCATGCATGGAATACCAAAAGGCGCCAGCATTGCATTATCACCATCTGCAGCAACATTCACGTCATCACTGACCTCGGTTCTCTTTTCATCACTTTTTGGTTCTGTTTCTGGAATAACCATCTCAGAACTTGGATAATCTTTTTCAGTGCCGAGAGTATCAGATACACTATCAACATTTCCATTTTCAACTTTGTTTTCTCCAGAATTCTGATCCCAGTCCACTGTTCCCACCTAGACAAGAAATAATACTGTCAGAAATTTGTGGAAAACAAACAGTCATTACAATATACCTTAAAACTTAGCCATGAGCAATCTTCTATCAATCAATATGTTTATTAGCAGATACAATTTTGTGCGTGCATTGAAGCATGATAAATATTCTATCTACAGGGGACAAACATAAAAATGTTGGCATGAAAGGTTAATTTGATTCACCTTATCGCCGACATGTAATTCGCTTTCATTAGGCAGTGGGCTGATATAAGGAAGCTGAGAGAAGATACATCTAACCAACTCATGCATCGTGTGGCGTGCGATACGCTGCAACAATTCACTTTTGGAGCTTGATTGATGAACAACACGCAAACAAGTGTTGACGATGGTGCAAATGTCTTGATTACTCAATCCATTAGCCGCCTTGCTCTTTATGCAAGCCAGAAGAACCTGAAGTATCTTCATCAGAACCACTTCCTCCGAGGCCGGATCAGTTACCTCGAAACGGCAGCTTTTCACAGCATCAACTATGATATGCATCGCCTCCCCTACGTTCACGGTCTCCAGGGTGAAAATGTCAAGAGTCAAGATCTTGTAGACAGATGACAAAGCAACGCCGGTGATCGGAGCCCCGGTTTCATCGGACAGAACAACATCCAAAAAGGGCTGTATGTACAATCTCGGGTCAACATTTAGCCAATTGCTCTGCCATGAGAATATCTGCTTACGCAATTCTTTCAACGAGTGGATCAGAGAATGCTCCAACTGATCATCATCTGCAATGTAGCGAACACCCCACCGTACATTTCTCCTCATCACAGCCA